TTTGGTAAGAACATGCAATATGTGTGTGTGGTGAGAGAGGGTATTTTGAGAATTTAACTAATTTCTGAATAGTAAAGGCATCCAGTCTGGCTATAATTGGTGCCTGTGGCAATTGTTGGTACCCTGACTACATTAGCTTTCTGTGCCCTTTAGCAGAATTGGGAAAACATTTCTAGTACTCGTTAAGCTGTCTATTATCAAGCCTTCATAAATATACACATTTAGAATAGAGATGATTTGCTATCCCAGTGCCTTAGAGCGCTTAAATAAATTAGTTCCTACTATTTCAGGCGTTAATTTTGCAGTAATTATGCATGAAGCAATAATGCAATTAAAATTGCCTTCCAACTTGCTCGAGTGGGAATATTTTTTGAAAATAATACTTGATCTTTTCTCAAAATACACTCTAGAGCAGGTGGATGTGCTGTGTAGCTCAAAACAGCAGCGTGGGACAGTTCTACCTTGAGATCCTCAGTTTGCCTGCAGCTGAAGTCAATATTAACCAAGTATTACCATCTGTTGGCTTTTGCTGACCTCTGGTTTATTCCCCTCTCCCCTTTCTCTAGTGGCAAAGTGCCCACATCACAGCTGGCATCAAGTGCTTCAGCAGTGGGGTTTCTTATTTAAAGAATGCAGCCACACTTCAAGGCAGGAACCATGGGCTAGCTTTCAGTTTGCAACGTTCCAGTTTCTTTTTGCATGGTACCCACTGGTTTCACATCTTTGCAATATCTGCTATAATAAAGCACAGCAATGTGTCAGCCCAGATTTCAGCCTTAGGTCTGAATCTCTTTACATTTAAATTGGACCTTTTGTTTCTTGGAAGAAAAGTATATATTTTGTAGCTGAGTTACAAATAAGCTTTTCCAGCTTTTTGGCAGCTAGGTAATAGTTAAAGTGAAAAGATTTCGTCTTTCCAGCCAGAAAAGAGTTTAATAACTGTGGGTCCATTTGTTCATAGCAGTACTGGAGCTGAGCCCTGCAAACCCCTGGAGCTTGGCAAGCCAGGCAGACTTGGCAAGTTTTCCTACCAGCTTACTGAGTCTGAGTCAAGCATGGCTTGTTGCAACTTCAAAAATATTTAGTACATTTTGTTAACAAGAACATTAAGGTGGAGGGTTTGGGGTTTTTTCCTTTGCTGACCTTAAGGTATACCATGCTCTCTCTACAAACAGCTGGTCCTTAAACCGTGCGTGGCAGTTCATGGCTTGTGTTAAATTCAAAATAAATGTGTACTGTATGCAGAGTATCTGATTTACTCTTGACATGAAGATATTGAGGAGGTATGAGACAGTATCCCACAGTCTTTCTGTCAGTCGACCTCTGGTAGTGTGAATCTGTGGAAAAAACAAGCATAGCCGTTACTTTTCAGTGCATCATAACAGCGATAACTTTTGCCCTCTGTTTGGAGCCTGTGGTGCATGAAGAGTTGTGTAAGTGTTGGAAATGCTCTCACTTCTAATTTTTACCTGTGTGGGCACTGCTGAAAGAAAAAGAGCTCAAACTGGACTTTTGAATTGGCTGGACACTGAACTTTCTAAATGTTATTCTTACCTATCCAAAATATATCAGCCTTTGAAATAGGGAGAAAAATTTTCTGTAGAAGAAAATTCTTTCAATGTTGAAAAATGCTGCAGAAGACTCAAGATAGTGACACTACCTATTTATTCCAGTCACATGCAACCATCTCAGTATTCTCCTATATTGATTCATTCATCTCAATGTGGTGTTAGCAGGGTCTTCAGTGAATTCTGCACCATGCAGTTGAGGATGGGCAGTACATCTTGAGAAGAAAGAATTGGTCTGTTGAGTGGGTGTTTTTCACTTTGACAGTCTGCTGTTTTGTAAGGCATCCTAACAGCTCTGCTCTTCCCCAGTTTTATTCTGTCATCGTTATTGCTAATTTTTTTTGTCAGGAAATGTGAATCTAAGAATCCAAAATGTTAGATTTGCCTGGTTTAAGGCTTGTCTTCCAGCCATGGGCTAACTACAGCAAGTCTGGCTGCTTTGTTTTACCCTCCTGGTGGATAATCAGCTATGTCTGTTGCTGGGGGACTGGTTGTGGGAAGCTATGGTTTCAGAAAGCGGTTGTTTCCTAAGCAGCACGAGCCAATGCTATAAAAGGCCTCATCATTTGCTACCAAACCTTTGAAGTTTGCTTTGCACAGTGGGATCTAGAAAACTGAGCAGAGCACAGTCAGGTTGCCAACTAAGCCAGACAGGCTTCTGATTTGTGAGCTATTTATTGTTTCTAGAATTGCTGCCCTCATTCATCATCGCAATTAATTGCAACAAGACTAGATGAAGGAGATGATAAATGCTTATGTCATTATTGCTAAATATCTGGGTGCGTGCTTTTTTAAAGCTTGGATTCTTCCTAGAAGAAACCCTTCAGTTCCTAACTCGAACACCCCAAATAAATTGTGGTTTGTTTTTGGGACCTGAGGCTTTGTACCAAAGAGGTTTCATATGTTTCTTTTTGAAGGGCTGGTGTGTAGAACTGGCTGGAACGCTGCAAAGGTGAGAGTGTGACTGGCCAGTGTGCTGCTTTGGGCCATTAATTGTGTCCTTAGAGTGAGATTTAGAGAGTATTCCTTCAAGGTATCAATGCAATAGAACTGGTGATAAAAAGTTGGGATTTAGTGTGTGTCTTTTGTCCTTTTTCTGGACAGAGCTGGTGAGGTGAATGCTTAAAGGCTCTTTTAATTGAATCCATGTTTAGCAATGGGAAAGAAAGAGGCACTTTTCTTAGGAAACCTAAGAAATATTTTGCAGTTTATACTAGGATGGTGCATTGCAGCTGAATGGTAAAGGAATGAAGCTGTTAGCCCTTAAGAAAGCTTACAAGGGCACTTGCCAATGACAAGCTGCAAAAAGGGCAGCAGGTAGTGAAAAGTGCAAACTTCAGGGTAATATAGTGAGAAATAAATAGAAACTTGCTACTCAAAAGAGCAGCTGATGGTTTAAAAAATTACAGGAAGTAATTTTAAATAGATGACCAGCTGTGCAAAGCATAGCTATAAACAGATGAGTTGGAATCAGTGTCATTGTTTCTTACTTGAACAATGAGAGTTCATTAGAACCAATGATTAATTTCAAACAAGAATGGTGATATAATAGCTGTAAGAAGTAGAGAAATAAGAGTTCAACTAACCTGGTTTCTGGTTTCTGAACAGTGGTAGTTCTCTGGCAGACTCATCTGGTCTCCAGCTTTCCTTCTGTGATTTTTTTTTTCATATTGCCTTTTGCATCCACAGCATCATCTGGGAGACATTTCCATAGGCCAGGCATGTACTGTGTGAAAAGGTTTCACTTTTTCCTTTTGTGTAGCATATGAATCTCATGTCTTGCAGCAGCACCTATTTGAACAGCTATTTGTTATTCTTTCCGATCTTGTGAATACTTCAATATTCCATGAAGTTGCCTCTGTCCCATGTTGGAGTCCTGGTTTGTTTAGATATTACATCCATGAAAATAGTGATAGTTCTTGATACAGTTTCATTTTTCTCTTGAGTTTGTTGGGGGGTTTTTGGGGGGTGTTTTTTGTTTGGTTGTTGTTGTTGTTTGTTTTGTTGTGGTTTTTTTTCTCCCTGATTATTCTGTATCCATTTTGGATGGGAGCACGGAAGAGATCAGATGATGTACAGCTAACTACTTGTTATCTGAGGTGTTCTGCTAATACTGCACGAGTGCACAGAATAAATTATGCTGGTAGGAGAGTGCTGCCCAATGACTGACAAAATGGTTTCAGAAAAGATATCTGGCAGTAAGTGCCATGGGCTCTCAGGGAGAGGGAAGGGAATGGGCATGGTTATCACTTGGCTGGTCTGCAATACATAGTGCATCCAGTGCAATGTGGACTTGTAAAGTAAATGCAGCACAAAATATGTTGAAAGAGGATGGTTAGTGGGAGTATTCTCACCTGCAATATTGAACTAATTTTGAACAAAGTAGTATGGTGTACTGTGGATTTTGAAAGGGACTGTAGCCAGGAATTCTCAGAAATCTTTTGTTATCTAATAAGTGTAATTTCACATGCAAACTGTTTCAGGATGCCCTTAAACTGCTATTGTTCTTCCAGTTTACTTGGAAAATGATAGTTCTTTCCCTTCTTTGTTACATTGTTTCCTAAGCTTCTTTCAGTGTCCACTAAGAAACTTTGTTCCAACCTAGTACAGCAGTTCCTGCTTTAAAAAGGTGGTTAAGCAAGATGAATAGGCTCAGAAAAGCTGCATCCACAGAAATGCTGAAAAGAGTTTACCTGTGCAGTGAAGCTTAAAGCTGTTTCCTGGGACTGTGTCATTACAGAATCCTCCCAAATTGGAAGGCAATTTGGAGTCCATCTAGTCCAATCTTCTGTTTAAAGTAGGAATATTAAATGCAAACCAAGTTGCTCAGGGCTTGCCCAGTTGCATTTGTAAACTTGTTAAAGGATGAAGACTCTGCAGCCTGTTTTGCAACCTATTCCAGTTTTAATTGTTAAATAGGTAGTTTATTAAATAATAATATTTGCATCATTTAGATAATAAAATTATAATCATGATCATGTTAACTGACAAATAGATACCATTGTAAGGTCTGGGACCGTAAAAATGCAACACAAGCTAGGCAGAATGCCCATCAAAACACAGTTATCTTGAAAATTCAGTTCTTTACCAAACATGATGGAAATGAGATTGGCTTCTGGCTTCAAGCATGTTAATTTGCTAGCGATAAGGATTTTGTAATAGTTTGATGCCATCTGCTTTTTTAGAGCAATGATGTAAATTCAGCAAATTGCTTCATAGCCTGAATATTTTGTTTTAAACAAGGAGTACTCTGCTAGTATTTAAAATGTAGGACTTGAAAACTGTCTGGCACTGCTGATAATTATTTTTAGAGCATGACAGGCATCTGTCTCCAGATGGTGGTCTGTATTCCACATCCTTCTTCTCTGCTGTAAATGGAAGAATGTACTGCAGGAGTAATCTAAAGCTTTTTGTAACTTGTCTCTTTTTCAGCTTTGGTTTGCTTTCGTTAATGGATTTTCTGGGCAAATCTTATTTGAGCGATGGTGCATCGGTCTGTATAACGTGGTAAGTGCTACATGTTTTGACTTGATAGTGCTTGGGACTACTGTATTATTTTGTTGTGTCCCATTTTTCACAGGTAACTGTCCTAGATGTATGTCAGGAAAGGTGAGTTCATTTTCAAAAGCCATTCTGAATCCACCCTGAGGCAGGAAAAAAAAATAAAATTACACTTTTATTGCAAAATGAAAATTTGGGAGAACATCTTGAAAATAGATGTTTAGCCTAATATAACCTGCATAAAACTGTAGATTTTAGATAGAATTTAATTTTCTCTTTGAAAGCATTTTCACTGTTTTGTACTGAATATTTTGGTGAGAGTCAAAATACTCCTAATCTCTGAGTTTTGATGAATTTTTTTCTTTCAGAAAAAAAAAGAGTTAGATGCTGAGAAATATTAAGCAGCTGCTTTGGGTTGAATCATGCTCCATTAGGTACAGAAAGAGAAGCTGCATCACTGTGTCATCAGCATTTTGCACTTGAAACAAGAGCAGGATGTGTCAGTCTGGGAGTGGTTTCTGATTTTCAACGTGGCCTACAGGGTGCCACACTGTGTCATATGACTTTATTACTTTAATCAGTAGTATTATTCTAATCACATAGATTAAAGTCTGAAGGATCTCTGGAACCAAGTTCTGCAGCATACCATAGACTTCTGTTAGTGTTTTCAACAGTGTTACCTTTGTAATGGTACGAGTGGCCCAGTGTCTGGATTTGTAAACTGTTAGGACACTGTTAAAGAGTCTCTTTGCAGGGAGGGAATTTGATTTTTTTCTTTAAAAAAGATCATTCCAAATATATGCTAATACAGGAAAAGCCAGCAAATTGTCACTGAGTAGTATTAATGGAACCACTTCTGTCACATTAATTTTAAAAATGATGGCACAAACCCCCATATTCCATAAGATTTCATACTCTTAGTTGAAGATACTTATTCAAGGATTTATCATTCCCTTGATTCCCTTCACCCTAATTTCCTGACTGTTATGCAGTCTCTGTCATTCATATTTAGATATTTGCATCTATTATCTTTAAATCTTACTTGATGAATCTATCTACCCTACCTAAAGCTTCTGGATAAAGCTCATCTTCTGCAATCAGAAGCTAAACCTTGTTTTTAAGGTCAGTATTTTCTAAAATTAGAACTGGTTGTGTAGACTCATAGAGAATCAAGTGCTGGTAGGATATTGGGGACTGCCACAATTTGTAGGGCTTAGATTTTGAAGTGCTTTTAGCTGAGTCATTCTCTTCTGTGCAGATTAACCCTTTCTGTCATTAGTAGTCACATTAAAATATGAAGTGTATGAAATCATAGTGGCATTGTAATTCCTGATTTTGCACTGGTTCACACTGGAGGTTTTCCTTTGTCATGAAACCCACTAGAAGATTTACTTCAAGTGAGAATGTAAATGCCCCAATAAACACAAGAAACCTGGGGAAGTACATTGAAGCTGTATGAGAACATGGTCTTCTTTGGAATATATTGGACCGGTGCTCTCAGTTCTCTACCCTCAGCCTGTGTCATTTTGGCCATCTGATTTGTCACTTCATGAATGAAGACACACAATTCCCACTGGACTGAGGGTTGTAATTACTGATTCTCGCTCGTCTCCGTTCCTCCCCATTGTTCTTTGTCTGCTCTTTGGCTCCCAGTGTGCTGCTGCTGGGAATCACAGCCCGCCTTCTGCAAATGTGCACACACCCTAGAAACAGTTCATAACTCCAACCTGCCTCTTGACTTCAAGAACATTTCTCAAACTGTTAAAAATATATGTATGTATAGGATTAAAAGTGATATTTCTGATGTAAACTATTGATGTAAAAGGAAGTGAATGAAGTTTAGACTTGCACCATGCTGTTACTTTCACTCTGTGCCTGCACTGTAGACCACAAGAAACATGGATACTCAAGCTGGCTTTAAATGAGCTGCCTCAGATCCTGGAAACACTTTAAGAGCAGCAATGTTAAAGTCAGTGGAGGATAATTTACTCTGCTTCTGGCAGAGTGTCCCACTGCCTGTCTTGGAAGGCTTCCGAGGCTTGGTCATCCAAGCGTCTGCCCGTAGCACAGACACACACTGCAGTTAATTTCTTCCTATCAGTTCATGCCTGCCAGGGGAATCCCCAAAGTACCATAATGCAGAATGGCCTTTGTTGCTCAGTAGATTTTTATTTTTAATGTGATTTCCACATTTACTCTGTCTGTAAACTTAGCAGTGGTTAAGCACGTTGCATATCTAATTGGGGCTGCAACTGCAGCTATATTGGAACCTATTCCCACAAGGCTATTTTGTAAAAATACATGTTGCCTTTCCTTTGCAGTCTGATATGTCTGACCCTTGCTGGATTAGCTGGTACATCAGAAACTAATGATGCTTAACTTCTTGGGTTTAAGCTTATTGGTTAATAATACGTATTTTCTTTCATGTTTCTTTTGTTCATAAGTCAATATTTGAGAGTTACAAATTGGTGAAAATAATGTTTGGACCATTGAAAATTACGTCAAATAACATGCTAGGTAGTAGCAAGTCTTCACTGAAGTTTGCAGAAATTTTGCTTTTGTCTGGATAAGGAAACATTATATGAGATACACTTAAAACTAAGAGCTGCTTTCAATTAGTATTTGCTTTCCTTGCAGATTTTCACAGCACTGCCACCCTTTACTCTGGGAATTTTTGAACGATCATGTACTCAAGATAGCATGCTTAGATTTCCACAGCTATACAAAATCACTCAAAATGCAGATGGCTTCAACACAAGGGTAAGGAACTGTTACTCTAAGAAAAAACATAAACATTCTTATATTCCAGATTTATCTTGTCAGAAAATAACTTTTTCCCTGATGTTACTTCTTCTTTATGCTAATGACTGAGAGTGGTTGTTCAGCCTTCCAGTTCCTTTAAAGAATTATATTGTATTTAAATAAAAAACATCCTTGTTTATAAATAAGGATTTTCTGCTGTGACTTCACCTGAAACTGGTCCTGAAATACCCGTAAACTTTGATTCAAAGTTAGATTCATATCCAAGCATGATTTTTCAATTCACAGCTACTGATAAGTCATGATGACATCGCCTGGATTTATTTAACATATGTGTTGTGATAACAATTTCTGCTAGGGTGCTTTTTCATAATTAGTATAGCTCTGTTCCAATAGTTCTTTTGGAAAATAGAATATGAATTGGCTTATTTAGACTTCTGATTTTTGAAGAACACATTTTGCCCCATTTTGCTATTTAAATGCTGGAAAGTGCCAGCACTTGGGATTCTGTCTTTTCCATAATAAGCACATCTAAATGTATTTCTGTATGAAGGAAGCTGTATGATTGCTTTGTTTGGAGAGGAAATTGAAAAGTACATAAAGCTCTAATTTGTTAAAAATCTGCTAGTTAAAAACTGGGGGGTACAAATTATTTGTCCATTGAAAGAAAACAGAACATTTCATAATACTGAATCATTCTTTAAGAATTATTCTTTGAGGTAATTAAACAAAGTTGACTCAATCTGTCTGCCTTATTTCAATAAAAATCTTAAACTGAAGCATCCTTGCTTATTATGCTTCAAGTTAGAATAAAATGATCAAACTGGACCAGTGTTTTCTTGTGAAAGAGCAGAAATTGTAGGAGAAAATAGATCCTGCAGAAGTTTAGGTATTTCACTTCAGGACAAACATTTTCTGACTCTAAACTACACAATGAAGTGTTTGTTGGGAGTTAGAGGTCAAGAGTTTTGGACTTTACTGATGGCTTGGTTTGTTTTCCCTCAGGTTTTCTGGGGTCACTGCATCAATGCCCTTATCCATTCCATCATTCTTTTCTGGTTTCCACTGAAAGTGCTGGAGCATGGTAAGGGCTTCATTATTTCTTACGTCAGTAACTGATGTTCAGTCTTACAGAACCAGGCTGTTTGCAGACGGGGGGGCCGTGACAAGTCCCAAGAAATAATGCTGCCAGACAGTTCAATAGTCTTTAGCTGCTGAGCTTGGCGGGTTGTCTAGTGGCTTTCAGAAATTACTCTAATGTAACATAATTATTGCTCAAATAGTGACTTTAATAGGTGAAAAATGAAACTACTGCTTTGCTAAGAAGTCTTACCCAAATACTGAGTGATGTTTCACAAAATACCTTTTTTTTTTTTTTTTTGCGGTATGTTTAGCT